ACCTCTAGACTCTGAAGTCCTGGGAGTGCTTGTTTGTTTGATCACTTGCGAATCACATATGCCGGTTCCTCCACCCCCCCCCCCCCCCCCCCCCACCTTTGCCAGGGACAAAACCCCCCCAGAAGGAGGGCCTGCTGCAGCACATCCACTCGCTGGCGGCCAAGGAGCGCCTCCACATCCCCGCCTGCGTGGCCGAGGTTCTGGACGTTCCCGTCACCAATGGGAGTGTGCCACTTGTCCTCGTCTGCATTGACGTCTACGTCCCTGTTGACATATGGGCGGGCAGGAGAGATTGGCGGGGTGGAGTTTCGGCCATCGCCGTGCTGAGTCACCTGCGGTGTGATTGGGAGGCACGGGTGCAGGTGCTAGAAGCGATGGAAAGGGTGGTGGAAGGTGGTGTGAATGCACCCCTGAACGGGGTGGGAACGGGCTCCAAGACTGTGGAACTAGGCGCGGAGACAGAAAAGCATGAGGATAGGGCAAGAGTGAAGGGAAAGTGGAAAGTAGACAGTTGGAGTGAACTAGAGTCTGTTAGGCCAAACCTGTTGAACAAACCCGCTGGCGCCCTGATTATCAGAGAACCAGGCACTAACCCTGAGCCTAACCCTGCGCCAACCCAACCCGACCCAACCCTGGCAGACGCCCCTTCGCTCACTGAGGCTCTCTGCGGAGACTCCCTCTCTCTAGAAGGGGTACAGGAACTTGTCGGAGCGTGCCAATCCTTGGGTTGCCAGTTGCACCCATCCCCCCCCCGAGACGAAGAAAAGCGCGGTCGCTTCCAAGACGAGAAACGGGCGCGCTTCAACCTTCCTACCCTCTTCCGCTCCCTCCCAAGCCACTTGGACGAACTAGAGGGGCTCCTCAGCAGGACGACCACTTACATGCTGCCAGGTGGCGCGCCGGCAGGCACCGGGATGTGCGACCTGCCTGATGAGGTGCTCATTCTCATCATGGAGAAACTAGGGGCGGCGGAGCTGCAGCGGATGGAGGCGGTGTGCCGCCACACGCGCGCGCTGGGGGCTGCGCTGTTCCCTAGCATTACGCTGCCGCTGTTTCAGCACCAAAGAGCGGCGGTGAGTTGTTTTCCTGGTCTCACACGAAATCACAGCTTGCCATTATGATGGTTATGTTTGAACGTCGGGTTTGTTCACAAAGAGCGAGTATGGTAAGAGCAAGATGTGATGGGCTGCCGAATCTTGTTTCAAGTGGGTCCTTGTGTCTAACAAGAGCAAAGGTTGGAGATCGAGAAAAGTTGAGCATGCTAGTATCAAAGTCTGTTGCCAAGGCCCTTGTGACTTGAGCTGGTTGCACTCCTGTCGTTGTCACCAGCATGCCTTACTTCTGTTTGCTTTCCGGCGGTGCAGAGCTTCGAAATTCTGCCAGCCGCATGCATCTATCTTGGAGCAAGCTCAGTCATTTGGGTGCGCCTCTGCCTAGAGCTCATTCCAAAGTCCCTCAGAACGGACCTGTCATGGTCTGGTTTCATTCCAATTTCAACGCACTTCCTACGTGTTCTCCCCAGGCTCGTTGGATGATTGCAAGGGAGCGCAGCCCCAGTACTTTCTCCAACCCCCTCTTCCGGTGCCTCACCTCAGAGGACGGCTTTGCACTGTGGGTTAACCTGGTAACCGGAGAGGTTTCGGCAGAGGACCCTCCCCCGGTTTTGGACGGCAAGGGGGGACTGATCTGCGACGAGCCGGGAATGGGAAAGACTGCCACGTCACTGGCCGTCATCATGAAGACACGTGGGGTCAGGTGAGCAAAGCCGGGCTCGTCTCTGCTTGGCTGAGCTTTTGAAGTGCTTCCAGGCGCTCTGGGACGGTTCTTGAATTTCTATCTCAGCAGGTGACCTGCAGCTTGAAAATCACTTAAGCGTGGCGCAACGTGTAGGAAAGATGTAAAAGAAGGTGAAAGAAAGTGAGAGAAAGAGGGCATATTTCTAAGATTCCTGAAATACCTGAAATAAGCGGTTCGTCTCTAAACCTGTGGTACGACGCGGATCGAGACTTGAAAAAACTGGACGGAATAACCGCAGACCCGCTTTTCTCTGCCTTCCAGATCGGGAGGTCTATCCCCACGTTTCTGACCCCAGAAGCTCTAGCCAGATAGAGAACTCAAAGCTGACTCACCCTTGTACAGTCGGCCTTCTTTGAAGACCCAGGTAAATAGCGAACCCAGAGTCTGGCTCAAACCCCAAACCTGCTTCGAAATAACGGTTCTGTTACTCAGGAAAAACGGCCCACCAGAGCAGCAGAATCAAATTTGCAAGTCACCATTTTCATCAGGTCGTGTATTGCATCTTCATACTCGTAGATTCCGGCTCCTTTCAACATCCTAAACCAACTTCAGTGTGCCTCTGCACAAACAGATCGGCTCTTCCGGCAGAGTCGTTGCCCCACCGGAGCACCTTACACGGTTCTGCAGCTAAGGGCTTGGCGGATGGCCAGTCCAGACTTTTGTCCCTATAGCTCCAGAACTCAGACATGACCTCTGTTTTAAAAGATGGTTCTGTCGCTTCCTGTGCAGGGCTGTCGGACCGTCAGAATACCCCAAGTGGTTCTGCAAGTTCGAGGGCATGGCAGACGGCCAGGCGGGTTACTACGTCCTCCCTGGAAACGCGCTTGTCCGCCACTCGGGTTCGGCCAACCGCAGCTCTAGGAGCCGTCAGTCCGTGAAGCTTGCACCGGAGACGCCCAATGCCGAGCTGCCACGTGGCAGGCTCATGTCGGACTTGAAGGCCGCCAGCGAGCCGGTCATGGGGAAGAAGGAACGAGAGGAGCGGTCGGGTTTGGAAGGGGTTCGGCGGGCGTTGTTTTCTGAGGGGAAAGGCGGGGAAAGAAGGGAGAAGAAGACCGACGGGGCCGTCGACTTTGAAGAGGTTGGGCGGATGGGGTTGGAAGCGGAGGTTGTGGGAAGTTTTGGACCGGGCTCGGAACCTCGAAAGCGGGGCAAGGATGTGACCAAGTTTCCCTCGATCTCTGGCGACGCGGTTCAGTCTGGTAGGGGGTTTGGTGCGCCTGCTGGTTCCTACCCCCTGAAAGAGGAGCCGTGCACCCCCCCTCGAATCGCGAAGGAAGCAATTGAGGCGGAGACGAGCGCAACAAAGAGGAGGCGAACGGAGTGTGCCGGACGGGACGAAGCCGGCGAACGGGTCCGGACGCCTGAAGGGTTGGTTCAAGAGCGGGTTGAGCAGCGGAAAACGAAGGGTTTGGGTTCCAATGGGGTGGACGAAGGGTTCAAAAGCGTTCGGTTTTTGGACGACCTGGATCAAGCTGGGGAGGAGGCGTGGCGGTGGGATGACGTGGACGAGGGATGTAATCGTATTCGTTCGATGAGTGAGTTTAACGATGGCTCGAATGCGGAGGGGGGGGAGGAGTGGCGATCGGACGGGGTTGACCAGGGTTTCAAGGCGGTGCGCTCTCTTTCGGCGGTGGTTAGCAGCGGGGTTAGGAAGGGTAACGTCAAACATCAAAGGGGGGAGAGCAATCCGACTGAGGCAAAGAGGTCAGGCAAAGAAAGGGCGCAGTGCAAAGAAGAGAGTGGTCAAAACGGTGGGTCGACGGCGGAGATCGTTTTTGGCGAAGAGCCCGGAATGTCAGGCCAGTGTTTTGGGGGGGCGAAGTCGGAAAAGGCTCGAGCGAAGCAAACAAAGCGAACAAAGCTCCGAGAGCTTGCCGAGGTGCTGCGGCGAATGGAGTCCCTGGAGGAACGGAGGCGCCAGTTTGCGCGAAGTGGCCTGAGCAACGGGGGTCAGGGTTGCGGAACAGACCCGGAATCTACCGAGCGGGGCACGGAAGCGAGTTCCGAAGGCGGAAGCGGCCTCCAGCAACGTGAAGGCGGGCTGTCGGGGAATCACGCTGAGCGTGGGATCGATCCGGACAGCTGTCGGAGCTTTGGACGCTTTTTGGACGGTTCGGTCGGCCACGAATGGAGCGTTGGGTGCGGGACTGCGGAGGCGGACACGGAGCGCTCCTCCCGTCTAAACGGCGGCTTCAACTCTCACGATGTTGGCGGAAAGGGTAATTCGTTCCCTGGTCTCGGGCAATCGGAGCGAGCGCTTGACGAGTTGCCAATAGACCTGCGTACTCCGGAGCGTCCCAACAACGCCCCCGAGTGTAGCCCGTCCCCTTTCGGGGGCCCAGAAGAAGAAGCGGTTTGGCAGCCTCGCACGCACACAGCCCCTAAAAGATTCAAGAAAGGGGCATCGCTGCTCGACTCTGCAGAAAGAGAAGGCGGAAGAAAGCCTCGTCACAGGCGGAGCATTCTTTCGGATATTTCGGACGGTGAGTGGGGCGGTTCGGATGCTGACCAGGGGCGTGCGGACGGTGACACGGGGAATTTGGACGTTGCTCGGAAGAGCTTGGACCGTGGTCGCGACGATCCGGACGCCGCTTGGGGTCGTTCGGACATCGCTCGACAGAGCTCGGAGGGTAGGCAAGAAGATCTGCACGCTCCTGAAAAGAGTTCGGACACTGCTCGGGGGTGGTTGGACGTGGCTCAGGGAGGTTTGGACACAGCCCGGGGGTCTTCGGACACTGCTCGAGGGAGTTTGGAAGCCGCTCGAGGGGGTTTGGACGCCGCTCGTGGGAGTTTGGACGCTGTTCCCAGGCGTTCGGACCCTTCCCCCGGACGTTCGGAGGTTGCCGCGGGGCGTTCGGACGCTGGCGCGGGGCGGTCGGATATCAAAGCAGAGCGTTTGGACGAAGGCGCGGCTTGTTCGGACGCTTTTGGAAATGGTGCGGACGATGATGGGAAGGAAACGGACGCGGAGAGTGAGGGGCAGCTAGAGAGCGAGTGGGTGGAGTGTGAGGCATGCCACAAATGGCGGCGGCTGCCCCCTGGGTGCCCTCGTCCCCCTGAGGACAGCCCCTGGTTTTGCAGCATGAACAAGGACCCGCTGCGACAGGTAAGCGGATGTTCTCTGGTTTCAGAGGCTTTGAGGCAGAGCCCCACGGGGAATCTAGAGGCAAACATGGAAAGCTATCTCTAATATTCGTTGTCTTGCTTCAAGGTTGATGTGTAAGCGATTAGCAGAAGGAACCCGCAGAAACGTGCGAAAACGTCTGAGGTGCACAGCTCAAAGGACGGGAGTGTCAGGATTCTCAAAAACGGACAACAAACCACCGTGCAACCATACTGGACTTTTTCTGCGATTCAGAATCATTCTTGAGAACTGCGAGTTGCAAAGGGGAGGACCTTCGGTAACATGACTTGCTTAGGTTCTCGCTTACTAGACACCTCATATACTTGCAGGACTGTAGCGCCCCGTCAGAGGACGTCGTGGAAAACGAGTGGTCGTCCTCGCACCCCGGTTTTGTCGCGCCGGGGGATCCCCCCGGGTCTGCCGAGAACGTGGCGTACTTCCTCGAAAGCCTGCGCTCGCAGCTGTCGGCCCTCCAGGTGAGGAGACGGGGTTCTTGCTGACGTCAAAAGGACGTCAGCGGTTGCTTCTTGCAGCGTTCGTTATGGTGCTTGTTCAGAGCCCGTGCTATCTGCCATCTGAGTGAAGGGGACTCTTGAGGTTGGGGCACCTCGAGATGACGTCGGCAGACGAGGCCCTGATGTGGCCGCATGAGTGCGTCATACTTCGTCGGATCGTAATCGTTTGCTATGTTGTTACTGGAATCCTTTGAGGCGGTTGTTTGCTTAATTAGATGTGTAGATGCCAGCCCTTGAAGGTGAAGCTGGCGAGGTAAAAATGTGGGAAAAAGTGTTTTGCGGATCTTCATTGGTTGCTAGTGTCACTACTGGGAGTCTTTGAGGCGGTTGCTTGCTTCATTAACTGTAAATGTAAATGGAAATGACCCCTGAAAAATGTTGGCGAGATCATTAATCATGCTTTTCTCTGAGAGGAGTCACTAATCGTGGCGGCCGTTGAACTGAACAGTCCTGGACACTGGCCCCAGGTCAGTGACCTTAGCTTCCAAGTTCGATGCTGCTCAGTCCAATTATTTCTCAGAGGCGAATACGGTGGCTGGCCACCTCAATCCCGACAGACTTCCAGAAACTTTCACAAGCTCCTAACCCATCTCAACTGAAATGAATTGCGATCAACCAGCTCAAGCCTGACAGTCTGACACCCTTGACAACAGTGTTTGCTTTTTCCTGCCACAGAACTCTTGGGGTGCCGCTACTGGCTGGCTGATCTACTTCAAATGAAACCACCACTCTAGCCGTAATACCGTGACACTTCTCAGCGACAGGAATAGCTTCGTCTTGTGGCGCGCAACGCAGTGACTGGCTGTCTTATTTCAATTGACGTCTTTTGTACGTCGATTACTCTGAGATTGAAGCCTGACACCATTCATGACAAGATTTGCTTCTTTTTGTGACAGAACTCCTGGCGAGCAGCACAGTGGCTGGCCGACCTCAAATCGGAGGACCTGGAGAAACTCGCTGCGCCTACCGGTGTCATGGTTCCTTACTACCGCCGTGACGCCAACGACCGGTACATGGCAGTCTACCGTGCTCTGGGGCTGGAGCAATGTCTCCGGAGGGATCCCTTTCCGGCGGAATGGGCTTGGGCGGAAGTCGAGGGGGAGAGCCCGAAACGGAAGCGGTGGGAAGATGTGCAGCGGAAGAAGGCGGAGGCGGAGAGGGCACGGTCCCATTTGTGGCGGTATCCTAGGTAAGGGCTTGCTTCTTTTCTAGATACTTGGCCGTGTTCTCACCTGCGGGGTTCTCTGCTTCCGGGCCCGATCAGGACCCAGTTCCTTTGATGTGTGAATATCCTCAGGGACGCTTTAGCTTGAGTGGTTGTTACAGGTGCATCCTTTGGTGGTCATCTGGAAACGAGGGCCTTTCCCATATTTAGTCAGTTTAACTTCCGCTTGCCTGGCTTTCCAGCTGCATTTCATACGATGCAAACGTGGAAGACCCAACCCGCCTGGCAGAGGACTTATCCAATTTCACTATGCTGGTTACGCTCATGAACAGGCCGCCAAGAGGTTGTAGCCTACATGCCCCTGAGCTTTGGATTGATTCTATATTTAGCGGTTGAAACGAACAGAGCAATAAGAGTCCCTGCAGGCATATCCGGTCTGGCTGGACCTTTGACACCGCTGCGCTGAAAGCGGCGCTCGCCACCCCTGTCGAAGACGCCAGGCGCATCTACTTGTCCAAGGCCACTCTTGTGGTCGTCCCCAGCAACCTAATCCAGCATTGGCTGTCGCAAGTGAGTATTGCGCGACCATTTTTCGGATTGTGTTGTTTGTTCCTGCTCGTCTGGGGAGCACGGGTTGACCACAAGAATATCAAGTTGTGCTGTGTTTAGTTTTTATGTTGAAAGCCTTTTTTTCAGGACTTCGGGAAGGGCCGGCTGCGGGTGTACCTCCTTGAGAGACGACGAAAGGATTCTTGTTGGAATGGTCCAAGCACTTTGCTTTGGGACTGACTTTTTCTTTTTAGTGATCTTGAAACTCTGGGCCAGAAAATCATTGGGGTATACCGGCCAACGCAGCACACGTGTTGCCCGTTTCTCCCGTCAGGCATTCGAAGCAATCTCAGATGCTCAGAGTTGGTGCTCTCATAGAATTTTTGATCAACAATATAATCTGGTGTACGATGTGCCATTTACCATATGACGGCAGCTTAAGGTTTCCAGGCCCTAATATCACTTGACGTCTTGAAAACATGCGCCATCGTGAAAAGCTGATACGTCACTCCCTCTCGTTTTTACAATCGAACGACATATTACTCTTAAGTGCTAGGCGTTTTTGCAGCGCTGAAACTCTTCCTCTCACTTCTTTGTCAGATCCGGAAGCACCTCCCTCCCGGCCAGCTCAAGGTCCACGTGTGGGACGGAAACGAGGCCACGTCACCCTCCGCCCACAAGCTGGCCTGGGAGTATGACGTCGTGCTGACGACATTCAGCCGGCTGAGCGTCGAGTGGGCCAACAAGGTTGACAGCACGCTCATGCACGTGCACTGGCTGAGACTCATTCTGGACGAAGGGCACACGCTCGGTGAGGGCGCTTATCCCTTCCAATGCATTTTGTTTCGCTCCTTTCTTTTATTTGTATCGGGAAGGTCCATCGCTCTAGCGTCCACGTCTTTGATCACTTTCATGCGCATCTTATGTGTAGTGGCACTTGCTGATGCTCATCCTGGACTTTAAAAACACATGCTCGGTGGGGGTTGTCAATTTTGTTTGTGATTTTGCCTCGTTCGTTCTCCTGTGCTGATTCCAACAGGCTTTCTCTGTTCGCCTCCGTCGTTCAAGCCATTGTATAGTTCAGGTTCTGTTCGATGCATGTGTCTGTGTGTTGACTTATCTTGTATAAGTAGACGCTTGGCGAATTCGTCGCCGTTCCGAGGTCTGAAAGAACAATTTCCATTCTGCGAGGTTGGTCAGGTGTCTCCTGGATGATCTTCTATCCTGATCTGGTGTGCGTTCCTTTCTGCGCGCCCGTTTTTTCCTTGCTATTCTCGCATGCAGCCAATGTTTCCATTTCAAAGGAGTTCTGAATTTCTTCCCTCTGGTTCGCAATCTGTCGCTCTTTCTCGTCATCAAGACCAAGTGCGCTGAAGAATAAAGCAGAGAACGAGCGAAAAGGTGCGGACTCACGATCCACGAAAGCTGACTTTCTCGTGGCCTTCCGCCGGTGCAGGTTCCTCGTTCCAGGTGACAAACAAGCTGCAAATGACCATTGCGCTGCGGGCGGACATGCGCTGGGTGCTGACCGGAACACCGACGCCCAACACACCCAACAGCCAGGTGCGCTGTTTGCGAGAATAGCATGCACAACTACTCTGATGTCATAGTCGTTCATTGAACACACGGCTGAGCAGTCTGTGACCCCTCTTGAGCCTCCGCTGAACAACGCGCAACGCGATGTTGCGAGGTCTCTGCTCATTGGAGTCATAGCTTCCACTTCCTCAAGGTTGTGGCTTATTGACGCCATGTGGTTAACACATGAGCAATCCCGAGGGGAACCAATCCGAGGCTTGCAGGAATTACTCCATTTACCAAGATCGAGTGGTGTGAAACCTCTTCTTTGAACGTTTTGGCGAAGCCTTCAATGCGCATTCCTTCTTGGCTGCGCATCTAATGGCTTGCATCCCTGGGACACTCTCAGCCTGCTCCGAAACCATTGTGCCCCAGCTGGAAGATGCTGTACCTTCTTCCCGTGAACTCTTTTTATAGAAGTAAAACCTTCTCCTGGTTGTCAGCCCGCTCTAAAAGTCCTTGCATGCAGTGGCGATCAGCAGTTGTTTAATGAAGTACTTCATCCTCTCTGCGGTCAAATCGACCCCAATGTTGCCACATGACCGCGGACTAGAATCCGCTTCTGGAGTCGCTTTCAAAGAGGTGCCGTGTTCCAAAGCACCAAGTGAAACTGTTAGCTGCCGACGAAGCACAAACAACAGCAATTTCGTCTTGTTTCCAAAAGTAGAAAGTCTCGAAGTCAAAGCTAGCCATTTAGCTCTTTATAGCTACTTGCCACCTCGCTTTAGTGTGAACGCTCTCCGCTTCGCGATTCTGAATGTTCTCCAGAACCTGAAGCCGTCGGATGCCTTCGGAGCCTCGATCGTACCGTCCAAGGTCCAGACTCGTGCTCCGAGCATTTCCATTACACAGCGCTGGAAACTCCTTCGCATATTGCCCACTCACACCGTTGCTCAGGATCTTTGCACGTAGCATTACGGCGTGCAGCGAAAGCAAGATCAGGAACCATGCTCCGAGCACTCCCAAGGAAAACTGAAACCCAAAGGCTTTGGGAAACTTTTTGCAGGTCGCCCGTTTACACCCCTTGCTCACAAAGAGGGTTGCTACGGCGATCAGCAGAAGGTGTGGGAAGCCACGACTCAGAAGCAAGAAATCAGGCCTGCTAACCAGACCAGACATGGTTCGCCTAATCCGATCTGACGAAGTTTCCGGGTCGCGCATTTACACCCGTTGCTCAAGTTTCTGCACGAGGGGTGCTACAACGAGCTGCAGAAGGTGTGAGAAGCCACGACTCAGAAGTAAGAAGTTAGGCCTGCTAACCAGACCAGACATGGTTCGCCTAACCCGATCCTACGAATATTTTCAGGTCGCGCATTTACATCCGTTACTCAAGTTTCTGCACGAGGGGTGCTACGGCGAGCAGCAGAAGGTGTGGGAGGCAGCGATCCAGAAGCCGTTTGAGGCGCAGCGCGAGGAGGGGCGACTGCGGCTGGAGGAGCTGCTGCGGCGCACCATGATTAGCGCGACCAAGGAGGACATGAGGACCATCCCGGAGTGCCACAGAAAGGTAAGAATTCTCCTTCTTTTGGAAAATGGGTGCCGGTTCCTAAGTTTGATTGACTCAGACTATTCCATCTAATATCGAGACGAGACTGTAAAATGGTCACGCGAGAGTTGGGCAGAAAGAAAGTCAGAAAGCAAGCACTGCGTCAGCGTGACTGGAAAGACATGCGGACCATCGCGGAGTGACACCGAAAGGTACGATTGCTGAACCGGCTGAAACATTTTTCAGGGTTTATAGCTTGATGAGGGTCTGGAAATTTTAGAAGCTAAACAGCTTGAAGCATATGACATGGAGATGCAGAGCGAGCAAGGAGGACATGAGGACCATCCCCGAGTGCCACAAAAGGTGAACAGACCCGTGATACCAGAAGAATATCTGTATCCAATAAGGCAAAACTCTTTGAATCTTGATAATTTTAATATGAGGGTCGGAGAAAGAGATGCGAGGAATTGATCACCATGACTAGCGCAACGAAGGAGGACACAAGGACCATCGCAGAGTGCTACAGAAAGGTACAACACTTCAGGATTTGCCAGGTAAAGACCATCGAGAAAAGTTCTGCTTTTCATATAAGGCATTTGATGAGATACGAAGTCGCGTTCCTGATATGGGGCTCATCCTGGTCGATCGGTACGGGGCTTCGTTTGGGTCCATGAGCTGTCAATTCGTTGAGCAAGCTTCATCCTTTGGTGATATTTTTTCTTGGACGCTCGATCTATCTCTTTGAACGAAAGTTCCGACGCCCAGTCTGCCCACGAAAAGACACTTTCCAACCGCCTCGCCAGAGAACAAAATAAAAAACGCGCAGACAACATCTTTAGAAAGCCTTAAAATATTGAAATTTGTCTTAACCTATTTTCCGTACCCGCAGTTGGTGATGTTGGAGTTCACTTCCGGCCACGCCAAGTCGTACAACGAGCTCGTCGGCACCGTGAAGCGCAACCTGCTGCTGGCCGACTGGAACGATCCGAACCACGTGGAGAGCCTGCTCAACCCGAAGCAGTGGAAGCTCGCGCGCAACACTGTAGACAACGTGCGCAAGAGTTGCTGCGTTGCTGGGAACATGATGGTGAGGGTTTACAGGATTTGAGTTCGTATGTTTTCAGATTTCTTGCAAGCTTTGAGGGATTTAACCACGTGGAGAGCCTGCTCAACTCAATAGCAGTGGGCTGGCGCGCAATACTCTGAACCACGATCACAAGATTTGCTGGGTTGCTGGAGATGATGATGAGGGCTTCGGCGACCTTTATTCTGCTCTCAGAAAGTCTGCGCACTTTAAAAGCGGTGCCATGTAGAGAGCCTGTTGAAGCCGAAGCAGTCACGGTGGAAGCTCGAACGCCACACTGTGGATAACGCTCGATTGGATTGCTGCGTTGTTGACCCAGTATTATCGTGGGGGTGTTCGATTGTAAACAAGCATAACTTCGAGGGTCGCGGGTTGGAGCTTAGGTTTCTTGTTGACCGGGTAGCGCGCCTGACCGAGACTGAAAGCCCTGCATAACAGGCACACAAGTAGGATCATGATGGCAAGGGATTGGATTCTGTTCTTCTCGGAGGATCTGAGGACCCAAGCGCTGGCCGAAGACAGTGTTTGCGTATTTCCCTGTTAGTGAAGGATCAGATAAGTGGCGCATGTGCTCCCCCCATCTCAAGGATCCGCTTGCAAGTGTGCGGCAGAGGTCCTTTTTGCTAGATGTGAGTCTTCGTCACTCCAAAGCTCGGCCCCCTTTGCAGGTGGAAGATACCCCAGGTGAAATCGAGGAGACCATGGAGTCCCTCACGGTTCCCCCCGCGAGAGCTGACCACATCCGATCCGCCCTCAAGAGCGGGGGCCATTGTGACCGGTGCAGGTAAACGCGAGCACTTTACATCACCAGGATTGACCGCGAGGAATCATGTGTACGTTGAACGGCTCTGCTTTATGAATTGATGTAAGAGTGATCAAAGTCTTCTGGAAAGGGCAAACAAGATGGTCTTAGTGAGACCTATCAATCCTACTTTGTCTGCTGACTAAGGAGTCTAAAAACTGGGCGACAACCAGGTCCCTATCTACTGAATTATCTGATCCTGAAGTAAACGGCGCAAGATCAGGACCAGCAGCGAAAAGATTAAGTCTTTGACCTGAATAACAGAATCGAAGACGGATTGATCCAGCTCGCACCTGATCACGGACGCGGTTGAGAGGAGCCGAAGCCATGTGATTCGGGAAGCATTAATCAAAGTCCTCAACCCTGTTTCTTCTTGTCAATCTGCCTGCCGTTGGTCATATTTCGTGCGCACCTCCTCTGTACCGGTTCCGCTGACTGAAGCTCAAGGTCCTTAGTGGGCAGGGACTGCCATAGACCGTAAGACATGCAACAAAAGGACCGACAGTGCCCCAAGCTTTCTCGAAAACCTGAACCTTAGACCCTTTCCCAACCAGTGTCTAGAGCTGCCTCCCTCTGGTCACACCCTGCGCGCACCTCCTGTGCGTCGCTTGCGTCAGCATAAGCGGGACTGCTACAAACCGTACAAGATGCAACACTCGGCAAAAATTCAAGCCCTGGAATCAATCTTTTAACTTTATCTTTCTATTCCTTCCTCCAAACAGTGCCTGGAGTCGTCTGCCATTCATCACGCCCTGCGCGCACCTGCTCTGCATTGCGTGCGTCAGCATAAGCGCAACGCACTGCACCGTCGGGGAGTGCTACAAACCGTACAAGATGCAGCTGAAAGGCTGGCGGCCGGAGAACCCCAGCCCGCGGGGCCCTGTTCCGCAAGACCTCATCGAGCTGCAGCCGTCCTACACGCAGGTAAGGGTCGTGGGACCCGGCAGAACAGGGCCGCTTCACACGTTTCCCTCGCCCCACCTTTGAAGCGCAGTGTTGAAGGATGCTGGGTGAGGTTTCGTGCTAAAGAGCGGAGGTTGAACATTGGGAATTTGGAAGGAAGAAGCATCTTGCGATGTAAGCGGGTTGGCTTCGCAGCACATCTTTGCGGTTTTCTGTTCGATCAAAGGGCCGTACATGTGCCGATACGAAGCGGTCCCACATGACCAGTGGGCTGTGTTGAGAACCCCAGTTCGAGACGCTGAGCACGGGCCGCCAGGCGTTGGTTGTTGAGAGGAAAGCATTCTAAAAAACGCCAATTGTTGACACCATGTATACATTTGGGTTGTCTGCACTTGGAATCCCGGTAGACAAATTCCCTCGAAACCGGAATTGATCGATAGAGTATGAGGCTGTCTTATCTGTCCGTCACTTGTGACTACCAACTTGCGAAGCACCCAAAGCACCAAGGCAACGAGTCAAGAGCTTCTTGCTTGCTAGGCTTGGGCTCGCGATTAAGGACATTGCTCGCCCTTCCCTGAGCGACTGCGTGTTGCGACCAGTCTCAATGTAATCGCGCGTCCTAGCCGCCTACAAAGTATGAGGAAAAGATTTCGACAACGAAATCCGGTTTAACCAGGCGGAGTGGAACCCGGACAGGCAAAACACCTAGAGCAGCAAGCTGACTCAACCCTGTGGGTTTTACTCGCTTATCTGGAACGAAACGAAGCACGGATTTTGAGGGTCGTAAGCCATTGCATCTTAAGAAATTTGAACACTGACGAAGTTTGGCGTTTTGCCCAGGCGGAATGGAACTTCGACTGGCCAGAACACCCAGAGCAGCAAGCGGACTCGACCCATCCTTTTGCTTGGCTGATTCATGGGTCAACGATGCACGGGTTTGCGTGATCCGAGCGGATCGCTCGTAAATTGTAATCGGAGTCCCAATGACCAATGTTTGCAGTTTTCTCAGGCGGAGTGGAACCCGGATTGGCAAACACCCAGAGCAGCAAGCTCATTAACCCTCTCCTTTTCACGTGGTGCATTGTTTCTAACGAAGCACGTCTTTGCGCGTCCTAGCCGCCTACAGAAGATTGGAAAAGGGACTCCCAAAAGGAACAACTTTTTGTTACCAGGCGAAGTGGAACCCCGACTGCCAGCACCCAGAGGAGCAAGCTGACTCAACCCTGTCGGTTTGCTCGGCTTCTTTGGATTCAAGCAAAGCACGGGTTCGCTCAATTCAAGCTATTGCATGTCGAGATTGTGATTGTTGACAACCTTCTACGTTTTTCCAGGCGGAGTGGAATCCTGACTGGCAGAATACCCAGAGCAGCAAGCTGTCGTACCTCAAGCGCTGCATCCAAGAGATGCTCGCCTCCAACGCCGCGCTGCTCGCAAAGGCCGCCACAGAGGAAATTGATCCAGTGCTCCCCCAGGGTGACGTCAGCGGAGGCGAAGGTGACGCGAGCGCCAGCTGGCAGCAGTTGAAGCCAACGAAAGCGCCAACGGTGTGGTAAGTGCTAAGCCCAACTTGCGCTTCCGAGGACACAATTCGATCCACATTTTCGGTTGCTGGACAGTCCAGTATTGACGAGGTCGATCGGCTGAGTAGGCTAGTGGTTAAGGAGTTGATTGATTGAGGAGTCGCTTGTTTCCCGCTGCCCAGTTGCGTCTAATGTTTTGTGCCACGACATTGTATTTGACGAAAGGAGGCCGCTAAACGACTCCGGCGCTTGGGGAGGGCGGTTCAGTAGGATCGCCCTTTCCATGCGCCAGGGGAATCGGAAACGTGTTGGACGCAACCGAAGAAGCAGCTTCAGAAGCATCGAGTCGTCGTCTTCAATTTCCCGGAAGTCGTTGAATGAAGCAATGTCTTCGGCCACTGGCTCCCGATTTGGATGCGACCAGAGACAGAGGGAATCGCTAGGCTTCCGTCTCTTGGGGATCAGAAGTCTCCAGTTGCAGGAGTTGTAGCAAGACGAAGAAAGGCGGTGTCTGATGCGAGGAGAGTATCGCCGCTCGAAGTCAAGCATAAGGAGCTCGCCACTCTAAGGCAAGCGCAAGACTGACAACCCCTGTTACAAATCTGACTGACATCTTGCCCGATGCAGGCCCACCGGTTCCGATGCCGGTGCTTCTGGGGGATCCCCCGAGCGGCGGCCGGAGAAGGCGATTGTGTTTTCGGAGTTCCTGGAGTATCTGACGCTGGTGGAAGCACAGCTGGCCGCTGCGGGCATTGAGAGCGCAGCAATGTACAGCCCCAAAACGCAAGGCATGAAGGTAAGGCCGCAAAACAGGGAATTGAACGTAAGCAAACGGCAGGTTCTTGGCTTTGGATGTTGTGAGGTATGTACCTTCTGAGTTGGAAAGTCAGAATAAATAGCTGGCAGCAGTGGGCAGCGATACATAGCCCCAGAATGGCATGAAGGTAAGGTCGAGAAACTGGACTTGTGTAAGCATTCCGGAGAGGTAAAGAGGTCTTACTCTCGATAAATGGAGAATACTTGAGGCTAAGCGACAGTTCTATCTCGGGGTTCAATCCACTCCTGAACCAACTATGCAATCCGTTGTGTTTGTTCCCCCGGCCTTCAGCCCTCGGGTCTGTGTCCCTTCTCTTTCTTCTGATTCGTCCGGAAAGATTGGCGGACTGCGTAGGAGCTGGAGTGGTCCTGTGGCATACCCTCTGGTCGAGTTCAGCTGTGTCTCATACGAAACATTGCGTTCCACAAGGGCTGCTGCAGCATTCAAAACATCCGTTTCCGCCAGCCATATTCCCGCTTCCCAATCTGTCTTTACCGAAAACGTCTCGAGCGTCGTTAAGGGTCAAGTTTTGACATTCTCCTCTTCATGGTGCTAATAGACCTCGGTGCATCACGAGCAAAGATTTCTGAATTAAATCCACCTTTTCCAGGATTTACCGATTCGCGGCTGCATTTTTGTGCCGTGCTAAGAAGTGCTCGGTTTGTGACCCCAGCGTCGTATAAGTGGTGCTTTGATTTGCGCGAAGAAAACACTGCATCAGTTCCCATTCAGGGAGAGAAGAAATTGCGGTTGCGTGCACGGACGAATCGTATCGGAACCCCGTTTGCAAGGCAACACCCACGAACCCGACGTCTGGACTTGGTCGCCCGACATTTCTCTGAAAGGCTGTCACCACCTATCATTACTCCCTACCATTGAAACTACATCACACGGAAAGCTCTTTTAAAGCGCTCCTGATTACCGTGTTTGCAGATGCACGCCCTGAGGCGCTTCATCGAGTCGCCCACGTGTTGCGTTCTGGTGATGGACTCGACCGCGGCGGTGGGTTTGGATCTGAGCTTCGTCAGCCGGGTCTACCTCATGGAGCCCATCTGGGACAAGAGCCTCGAGGAGCAGGTAACGCTCACACCGCGACACCAGCCCAGCGTTATGCGCCTTTTGATCAGGTAAACCAGCATCTGCGTTCTGGAACTCTTCGCTGGATTGACTGGCGATGTTCTGCCTGGGAGTCTGGCAAAGTGACTACAGTGCGTGTCTTCCAATTGCGGATTCGGGACACTCGTCTGAGCAAGCGGTATCATTCCAGCGGCAGAGTCCGTTTGCGCTACAAAGCGGTCTGGTTACTCTAAGTTCATTATCTGCAGTTCCCCCACTGCAAGACAGCGAGATGTTTATGTGATTGTCACGACACGCACGGCCCGGTATTGGCAAGAGACAACCTCGCAAATCCATCTGAATCTCGTCAGAAGACTCCAAGAATTCCGTTCCTGCTTAACTTTTATATAGTCGATGGGCCATCCTGGCAGGCGGCAGATCTGTTTCCCCGCACTCGTCCCATCGCTCCAACGTGTTCCAAAACGCATGCTCTCTTTCTAGATTGTGAGTCGTGCCTGGCGCATGGGCGCAACCCGCCCGGTTATGGTGGAGACTCTCGCGATGAGAGGCACCATCGAAGAGGAGATGGTCCAAGTGCTGCAGGTAGGCTGTCAAAGTCTCAGCTTTACGTTTAGGAATATTTCATACCCTGTTGTTCACTAACACGAGTCCCGCTATCGTCATGATTACGCCTTTACCCAGAGACGTCTCTCGAGCCGTTTGAATATGGTGGAGACTGTCGCGATGAGAGCCACCCTCGAAAAGGAGATCACGAGCGAGTGCAGGCAGGCGCCTTTAAACCTTTCCTACTTGCCGAGGTCCTCTCCCAACTTGCTTTGAACGGGGTGTAGATATTCCCTTCGCCCTACGTATCCCAACGCTGGTTCCATTGTGTCCCTTCGCCCTACTCTGCTGGACCTGCTTTCAATCCTACTCTGAAAAGTATGTTGCTGGGACGCTAATCCGGAGGGGTGCATGCTGGCCCTTGCGCCGAAACAGATTTGAAAAAGTTGCAAGACCGCTAGCTTTTCTTGGTGAAACTTGGTACCCTGCGCTTCTTAGACGATGTCAAAGGAGGAGCCTAACCAGTTAAGAAAGTGCCTGGTAGCTCGGTCGGCGATGTTCCAAGTCTGCCCCTCTACTGAGCTGTCGCCCCACATATTTGAAAGGCGCTGACGGGTGCTGGTCTTGATAGGCTGTGTTTCTGCAGGTTCAAGCTTTTTCACCGTTTGAACTTGCTCGATGACTGGTCTACAGAGGTGCAGGTTGCTGGATGTTTCAGAAGGGTAGCTTCTTTAAGCGCAAAGCATTCTTTATTGAAGCTTCAGAATGCCCTTTGTTATGCAGAGTCAGGAGGAATACAGCGGGAAGAGCCACCGGGAGACCCAGGAGCTGAACGCGCGTATCTCGTGCCTCTCCCGGCTGAGCCCGGTCGGGTTGCCGGACAGTCGGAAATAGCGGCGTTAAACTTGCCCCACGGGACTCGCTGACTCGACCGAATCGAGTACAGGCAACAAGTCAGTAGGTATTACAGACAAGGGCTCCTATGTGGATATCATGACAACTACGCTTGCTCAAAACAGTTCGATTGTGTGTAGTGTTGAATGTCGGCCGCGCAGCAGTGTCCTGAGGCAAGGAAGCGTCTTAGAATATCCAACCTGCTGAAGCTGATAAACCGTCATATTGAACTTGTCTCGGCGCTGTTGGCTGAAGCATACTAACATGCACTTCACACAGAATCAAAGTACTTGCATCATAAACCTCGGATGCATCTATTTTCCTCGCTTATGCATAAGCATTTCGTATATAACCGACTTAAGTTACTAAACATACTAATGCTGATCAATCGGAATGCCTTCTCAGGCTGGTCCTGTAACGGTAAGATTCAATGATGTACACCGACCGCGGCCTTGCGCAGACTCAAAAGGTCCGATATCATCAGATCTAATCATCAGATCTAATATATCTTTGTTGCGATTATTTGTGCTCGATCGGCCGGGCCAAGATTCGTGCACGGCCTAGCTAGCTGGTGAGGTCGGAAGGGCCTCTAAGCCTAGCTGTCGATAACCAACGGCCGGGCGGCGGCTATTCAAGGCCGGGCTGACCGTCCCGACGTACATGGATCGGCACTTCTCTAGCTTAGAGCCCATGCGCAGCATTGAAAGGCATGGCTTGCGTGCAGATGAGTCGGTTCCCAATAAAATCCGATGCAGCTAGCACATGCAAGCTTACGAATGGCGGCTGTCACCCAAAACAAGCCTGTTAGACTGGACGTCTACTAGAAATTCCCGGCCATTGGAGAGTCATGCACTGAGTAGGGGCGTCGACCTGCCATTGAAAGCCCAATTCGGCCAGTCGGAAGGCCCATGGTAGCGGCAGTAGGGGCGTCGACCTGCCATTGAAAGCCCAATTCGGCCAGTCGGAAGGCCCATGGTAGCGGCCCAATGATGGCGGCCGCCAAGACTCGGGCATGCACTCAGTGCCATTGCGTACTCATGCAATGGGCGGCACTGGTTGCTCAGCACTACATGGTGTCCGATTGAAGTCCTGGTTCATGCTGGATCAGTGTCCCGCATGCTGGATCGGCGATTCGGCATCAGTTGACCTCACCTCAACTTGGGCGCGCGCGCGCGTATTGCACGACCGGGCACTCAGGAGTGAGGCAGTTCAAGAAGTCATGCATGATGCATCATGCAAATCAAGTAAATGCTGGCCGCGTTCTCCGGATTCAGGTTCTGCACGCCGTGCAGCATTTACTCAGGAAGGCAATGACAAGCATGCAGGGTTTCCCACGGCCCGGCCACGGGTTTTTGTCCCGGCCAGCCAGCTGCGCTGGCACCCTCCCGGTTCTGCCAGCTGAGAAGTCGGTGTTTGTGGCCACCGGCCAGGTTGTACCTGCTGTTTGCTAGCTACACAGCCGGCGGGCCCCGGGGTGCCTTCGGCACCAGCTGGGGTCCTTCTTTGGCCAGCCAGGTCTGCCCCATGCTGCCAGCTGTGGCAGTGCCACAGTGGGGATGGAACTCAAGAAAGATAATCAGCAACAATTTTCATGTATGTATGCATCATACTTGGTGTGCACTGTGCACTGTGCTGGTTGATTGTCATGATAGAAGCTCCCGGTTTATACAGCATGGATAGCGCCTGGATAGCGCCTGGCTTGGCGTGTGAAAAATTAGGCCAGCTACATGCGGTTAGTTACATAGCTCGAGTTACCTTGACTTCGCCTCTAATGCGTATGTCGCAATTCTGCGGTAACCCTGGGGTTACGTATTAGTCAGGATACTATTGTGAATAAGCCAAGATAATAATTAAGGTACACACTAGTGGGACTCAAACCCTGATGATTGCAACGGCACATGTGACATGCATGATGCAGGCATGATGCACACGGTGCTTACCGTGGCTAAGGTCTTAACCTGTTCAGGTAGTACTACTGTCTTGTCGAAAGATTCGTGCTTCGTAATTGTGATTTAGGCCGAAGGGTGCCTCTTCACGAAGCATGAATGCACATAATTAACAGACTTACTAAAACAAAAGGAACGCCTGAAGGCACCTGAAGGGAATGCGCCTTCCATCTCATGTAGACCTGTGCTAGTCGTGACTCGTGAGAGGTGCCCTCAAGGCTCAAAGCAGCATTCACTTTGAAACGCTGAAAGTGAAACCGGACCCGTGTGCCAAAGTGAGAAGGCCCGTATTGGAGGCGCTGGGACTCTGGTCAAATTTTGCTGAGTCGCTAACAGCTCCACCTTTGAAGCCAGCAACTTCTCCATTTACAGACAGCAAGACAGCAAGGCACTTCCTGCACCTTCTCTGGACTTCTTGCTCTTGTCTCCTTTTGCAAGCTGATTGCCACCACTCTTCTCTGTCAGCATCTCACTAAGTTGCTACAGACCCTGCTTATTTTACGTTTTTGGCTTTAGGGTGCCAATCACAGGAATATTTACAGCATCCTCAGGAGAGCAGCAGCGTTACGTACCGTCTCTGTTGATATAATGACGCCAGTCAGGACTGCAAAAGCTTGGTCGGTCATGAGCTATCCTAGTCTGGCCTCTGCCGCCGGATTGCTTTACAAAGGGTTGAGCGCCAGGAGCTTTGCTATCTTTGCTCTTTGCGCTGTCGTGAGCTGCTTGGCCCTGGCTCCAGTCATTGCAACTAGTTGTGGGGATGATACAGACTGCACCGATGGTGCTACTTGCTGCAATAATGTGTGCGGGGTCACGTGCGGTGATGGATGTTGCCCCACCAGCCTGGGTTACAGCTGCACTGGCAGTGCTTCTTGTGGAGGTGAGCGGGTTAGGTAGGTGGTAACGAAGCTAGGAATTTGCTCTTTTATTGTCAGCAAAACAGAAAAACCATTGGTGCGGCACAGGCTTGCCATCCTGTATGTTCAGTATGAAGGTGTGTGCAGAGTTCACCAGAAGTCTCTGCTCTTGATCAACTTCAAAGGTTAAGGCCCTTTAACACTGTCTTCCTATCACTGGAGGACTGCTTAGCCAAGGGATAAACAGGCTAGCTGGTTTCACGACAGTTAACTCTCCCCATGCATCTGGGCAAGAGACAATCACATGATTGGCTTTGTTCTCAAGGAATGGCTACACCGCAGAATATTGACAATGTGCATTTGACCATCCTCGGACGTGACTAACTAAACTTTATCAAAAGCTGTGCTGACTTGGATCGAGTCAAAGGGGCAACCGCTTTCGTCCGCTTTCTTTAGGAGGTGAATGATTTTCATGGAGGGAATATTGCTTTTGACGATGTCGCAGCTAGCCTATCCATAGACATCGCAGGAAATCCACTCTTTAATGACACGCCACTGCACTTGATGATATGTCGAGCTAGGAATATAGAAGCAAGTGCATTAGAGCATCAGTTGTTATGACCTGGTCTCCTTTCTCCTGCAGCTTCGATAGGAGGGACTGGAGACCCCATTTCTTCCTCACCGTCCCCCGAGGTGGCCAGCAGCTAACCGGGGATTTCCATGGCAAGGGCAACCAGAGCTACTGCATGGTCTCGGACAACTCAATCTGCGTAAGTCCCACAACAAACTAGTGTTTCGAAACAAGGATGAGGCAATGCTGCAGTCACTAATTAAATTGTCATCTGCCTAGTCGGCTAGGGGCCCTGTTGCAAAAGGAAAACATGGCAGACAGAAATAGGTTTCACCTAGACTGCTTGGGTATCCTCCTGGTAATAGTATGCGCCATTATTCAAGGTAGTCTCCTTGCATAATGGCCCTGTTTTGTATCTCAGATTTAGGGTTTACAGGCTCAGAATGAAGAGGTGAGTTTTTTTGTTTTCCTGACACCCATAGTAGCAGCCTTGAGGTCTGCTGTGGTCTAATTGGCCCAACAAGGCCTGATTCAGGTAGCAACTTAGGAAGCTCGATCTGCAGCCATTAAGCAAGCCCGCTGTTTATGGTCTGCTTTTGGTGATTGTGATAGAAAACATCTTGATTTAGACAAATATTTTATTTTGGTTGCCAATGACAATGACTCCTGACTCAGTAGGGACTGCATGTGCATCTTGCCCTTGGTTGAGTCTTCAAATGATAGAACCATCTGCTCTTTCTATTTAGTGCCGTTGCAAGATGGCTCCAGATTCTTTTTTGTAATGCATGTATCCCATCAGCTTGGATGTGTTGATGCCGTTTCTCACCTGTGCCTTAGCTTGTCTTACTGCCAAGCTCTCCTTCTACACGAGCTTACCTAAGTGTGGCGTTCCCCAGTAGTATCATGACATGATGAGCCTAGTCTCTTTCCCTGCTTCCCGGTCTTTCTGACGTGCTCATTTCATGACTGGCTGCAGTTGAACGCACGGATGTTCAACCTGCCTCCAGATATCAACATCCTCCAGCGAGCACCGAGCGAAGAGGACCCTTTTTTTGAGGGAACGTGGATGGATGCGATTGGAGTTGTTTACTCCACACCAGAAGACGACAATCAGCAAGCGCTGGAGATCGTACTCAACCAAAGCAGGGCGCGGGCTGCTTCGAAAGAATCACTCACAATCGGTTTAATTGCGAACAACACCATGGTTCTGGTGAGCTCTACACATTGCCCTTCGTTACTTTCAGAAGAAACGACTCGGAGTAGGTAAAGAGACTTTAGAAAGCACAGCTGTGGACTTTCAGAACTGCAGAACCTCTATTCAGAAGAACACCGTGCGTTTCTTAGAGTTGCTCGATCAAACTGATAAGATAATCTGCTTTGTGGATCAAGTTCCTTCCTACACCACTTGATCTGTTATGGAAGTTGCATGCAACACTTGGAGAGATCAAAGTTTTTGAGCTCCAGATTTGCAGAAACTGCAGCAAGGCATGGATGTTCCATCAGGCCCTTGAAGCTTTAAAACGAATTGAGAAGTAGTAAAGCAAATAAGGTCCAGGGACCTAAATTGACTTCAACTTTCTATCCAAGCTACTAGCTAGTCTTCAGATGGTCAAAATGGCCCGTGCTCAAGCCTCATACATGATCAACCCAAAAACCACGTCCTGTCTTTGAAGATGCCGACTGACAGACCAAATCTCCTGTTACCAAATCTCCTGTTACCAAATCTCCTGTTACCAAATCTCCTATTACCAAATCTCCTGTTCAGGTTCCGGTAGGCGTGTCCACGTGGACCAGTCCCGATAAGACGCTCAACGTGACCTACCAATCCGAGCTTCGAACCTCCGTGGCGATTTTCGTCACAAATCAGCTGAAGATGGATGTCTGGGTGGAGGTTGACAAGGAGATTGTCTCGGATCCCCCAATCTACAGCCTCAGCTTTGACATCCAGTCGATTGCGACCACGCCAGAGGTCCATGGGGTGAGCAGCCAACAGCCCTGCCTACGCTTGATTACAACCCTGCTTGGACATCGATGTTTTAGAAGGGATGTGCATAAAATGCCAGAACGTCTAGGCTACTGCTCGAATCTACTCGGTGAGTGTGTTGCCGTCACCGGATCAGTAGATTTTGGAACTCTCCAGGTCTCAGGTAACATTTTTCGCGCTCATCCACGATTGCAGCGGTTCTGAGCTTCCTCAAGGCTGCTCGCTTTCCATGCGTTGATTCAAATCTACTGTAACTTCAGAGGCGCATGCTACCACATTCTGGAATTTGGACCTCTAGCTGAATCTGAGAGGAGCAAAATCGAGATCTCCTTTAGTAAGTCCGATTTGAAGCTTTAGATGTGAGTTGTACAGTCAGCTTGATGAGCACAAGAATGCAGCAAAGTATTCTCGACGATGGTGCGGAAATGCGGCACCGCCACGGTGTCTTCAATCTGATTCCAAGACCTACTGTCCAACTTTCAAAGTACTGAGACACCGTTCATCTGGTCTCAAGAATCACACGCGAACATCCGGGCTAATCAAACAAATCGGCCAGCCATCGCCTAACCTTGACCCGCCGGACTAATTGCAAGAATGTAAACGACCTTGTACTTCTCTATAGTAGTCATTGTCAGAAACTTAGAGAAATCTTCGGAAGCTTTTCTATCCTCATGCAAAACCGTTGACAGGCCGCTTCAAGATTGCAGTGCGTCAACCGCAGACTTTGGTGAGAGAATTCTTTCAGCTCCTTTCCTCAAAGGCGCTCTTTGCCCGCAAACATTTCGTTAAAAAGATATTCGTCAGATCTTCGCCTCGAGGCTCTTTTGACTATCGCAAACGCGGCGGTCAGCAGGAATGATGCTAAATCAGAAGTTCGCTCGTTTCGTAATGTTGACGTCTTACTTTAAGCCTGACTCAAAAGACTGAATCTAAACCCGTGAATCTTGCAGTTCGTCGGCCAAATGTATGCGCCGGGGGCCATTGAGGAGCGCCTGCGGATGGGCACTCTCAAAGGCTTGCTGCACCGCGAGTACGTCGAAGGCATGGACGACGACTACGCCACGTCTAACCTGACGGCGACCGACTGCTTTTACACGCGCTTCAAAACGGTACGAACGCTACAATTCCCGTTTACTGTTCCGGTAGCGAAGAGACAGTGGCCATCGCTCTTTCGCTGTGTGCACGAATCGCACTGTTCTGCCGCCGGAACTCATTGAGGCTTCCCAAGTTCGGATTTGAAAACAGCACTTGCAGTGTTTTGTTACAGAGGAAAGTCGCTAAATACTAGGAAGTGCTTGACCGAAGGTAATCCATGAGCAACTCTTTTGCTTTCATCCGGTCTCTTTCGACCCCATCCAGTTGTTTGATCTCAGAACGAATTCCTGGATTCTGAAGGATCAAGACATCTGGCTCAATATTTCTGTCGCAAGACCCAATCGGATAAGATTCTGCGCCTAGGAGTCATAGGGACTCACCGTCTGGAATTGGCGGCATATGATGGTTCGATTGACCACTTAGTCTAAAACTTTGGCCGACTCCATCTCTTAAAGCGCTTTGTAAGTTGAAATCACGAGAAGGACGTGACATCGAGCGCAACCCTGATGCGTTCACAGCCGGGCATTTCAGGCGGAGGCTGACGTCACGACGCGCACGCCCATCGACGTCATCTCCACGTCTCCGAGGCTATCCCTCACCGGCCGGCGGCTCCTCGTGGCCACGCCACCGCAGTGCGAGTGTCTGTGCGGGGGCGCCACGTGCGGGGCCAGCCAGTCATGCTGCAGCGACGCGTGCAGTGACGTCATGAGTGACGCCCGTAACTGCGGCTCGTGCGGCCACGCATGCGCTTCGGGAGAGTTGTGCTGCGGGGGCAGTTGCACCAACGTGGCGAGCCCCAGCAACTGCGGCTCGTGCGGCAACGTATGCGCTCCCGGCGAGTCGTGTTGCGGGGGCGTGTGTATCAACACATTGTGACCACCAACAGCAGCTGCGGGTCGTGCGGCCATGCATGTATGCCGTACGTCGAGACGTGTTGCGGGGGCAGATGCGTCTTCGTCCTGGGGGGCAACAAGGACAACTGCGGTGCGTGCGGCCAGAAATGCACCGGGCCAGATTACCCGGACCTGTCCTGCTGCTACCCGGGAGCTTGCACGAACGTGGCGAGCAACACGAGCAACTGCGGGTCGTGTGGCAGAGCATGCGCTCCATCCGAGAAGTGTTGCCGCGGCTTTTGCAGCAATCTGGTGACTGACAACTTCCACTGCGGCTCGTGCACCAATCAATGCCAGTTCGGCCAGCAGTGCTGCGGGGGATCGTGCACTGATCTAAAAACCAGCACCACGAATTGCGGCGCGTGCGGCCATGCGTGCGCTTCGGGCGAGACGTGTTGTGGGGGCAATTGCGTCAACCTGAAGACTGACCGCAGCAATTGTGGCTCGTGCGGCCACGTGTGCTTTGGCGGGGCGTGTTGCGGGGGCAACTGCGTCGACTTGATGAGCAACGCGGACAACTGTGGGTCTTGCGGCAACCCGTGCACCACAGTTTATGGGACGACGTGCTGCGGGGGCATCTGCCGCAACTTTGATATGGACTTCACCAGCTGCGGCTCGTGCGGCCACATCTGCTCTCCGGGTCAGTCGTGCTGCAGTGGTACGTGCCTCAACACGGCAAGCGACCCCAATAATTGCGGGATCTGTAACCGCCACTGCGGCGGGTCCACCCCTAACTGTGTTCAGAGTGCGTGCTCGGGCTGATGGGAGTGGGGGGGCGGCGGTGCTGGTGCGAATCAGCGGCTTCGGCGCGGCGTCTAGTTGCAGTCTAGCGGAACGGGCTCCTCTGTTTTTTGTTGCCCCGGCAGGTCGACATGGCTAGCTCTTGTGATGGGGCGAGATCGAGTATTTGCATGACGTGCAGCAGAGCAGCACTTGTCGTGGTAAGAGAATGTTAGCCGCAAGTTTTGGTAAGAGATGTTAGCCGCAAGAAGATCCGAGACGTGACCCCCACGATATATAGCGTCACAGGATTGAATTACACGTAGAGCTCTCATATATTAGCTAGAGGCGCCTGAAACTGCATCCACGTGGTAGCTTTCCTCTAGTTACAGAATTTCGTTTGAGCTAGTATGATCGGGCCAGGTTTATAGATCAGGAGCCAAAATGGGACAGAGCGTTAGAATTGAGAGCAGATGTGCGGGACTGGGTTGGTCCGACCAGTCGCCCGACAGCTCCTTGGTGCGCCTAAACTTCCGGTCTAGGCGTGGTATGTTCCTCTAGGCTGTATTATGGTTACCACGACGTTCGACATTCTGTCCTTGTGCTAAAATACCACCAGTCGCCGCAGGCCTGTACTTCGATCGGCTAAGCCCCCGCTTCTGAATCTTTTTACCTTTTAGTCAGGTTGTCAGCCTTCACATCGAGTTCTGGCTGCTAAGCAGATGCGCCGGCAAGGGTCGCAATGCAGTCAGGCGCCTCATTTTCATATTCATAGTCAGCGTGTCGTTGTGTCTCACATTGTGGCATTCAGTCTGGCCGGGAGGCAGGCTCGCAAGCATGCTCACGCACGATCATTTGTAGGAGCTATGTGATCCCGATATCAGGTGAAGTAAGATGTGTCACTGAACTGCCCAAATAGAAAACAATTGAAGCCCATAGTGAGTCAGTGTTAATCCTAGTATCATATTACAAGCAGCTAGTACAGGCACCCCATGAACCAGCTCAATAAATGTCAATGCATGGGTGCACCCTGGCGAATCGTCATATTAT